AGGGAAACTACATTATGGCCATGACTTTCTGAAGATTTTCTTGAGACAATGATTTTTGCTTTATGCCATATAATTTGCTTTTTTCAAAAGTAACAGAGACAATTTGACATAAGGAGGCCTTAGTCACCAACAAATTTTTGGTTGAAAACAAAAGATGTCTTCCTGCACTGCTGAAAAAATGTAGGCAGAGCACAGTGAAGGATATTGAGGCCCCACTCTGCAGCCCAGCAGTGGTCCTGGAGTCATCAATGGGACCAGGACAGGCCAGTAAGTCATTTTGATATAAACTCTTAAGACAGAAAAAAGGTGAAAAATATAAGCAGCTCAAAGGATGTGAATTCCTTCTATTCCTCTGACAATAGAGAATATTATATTCCATAACAATAAATAGTTTCTTAAATAGATCTCTTCTGTTTTCAGTATGGGGTTTGGATTTTTGGGGGGCTTTTTTTAGTTTAGGGTTTTGTGGGGTTTTTTTGCTCCTTCCTCTCAGAAACAAGTCCTATAATAGATATCACCAGAAAAAAAACAAAAATCAAGGAATAGCTCCAGACATGAAATGAAGACTTAAAGTGTCCGTGGGGAGGAAAAAAATACCCCCCAAAAAAACCAACAGAAAAGAAGATAAACCCCCCAAAGCACTGTGGTTTCTACAAGGATGAAATTTTCAATCCATTCTCGTTCCAGTCAAACTTCCCAAGGCACTGCAGATGTGCCTCCTCACGGGGCTCCCTTCAAAAATAAAGGAGCCTTAAACCCTGAATCGCTCTGTGCTCGTTCCTTGTGCAGCCCAGGAGGTGTCTGGCACTCGAACCTGCCCCGACTCTCCCGATCCACCGGAGCTGCTCCGATCCCAAATCCCCCCGGCAGTTTCCAAGGAAACCGGCGGAGATGCCGGAATGGGCTGAAGGCGGGGGGAAATCACAGAACCGCTGCTGCGCGGCCACTTTGTCAGTACTTTGAATGGGGGATTATAAAATGCTAAAAAACTAAATTAGTATTGACAGAACCTGCAGCCAAAAGCGAAGCGGAATGAAAAGGCGGTGATGAAGCACTGCTGGCTGCAGGGACTGGGAGCTGCGTGGGGAGCCCTCCCTGCCCTGCCCAGCCCCGGGGAATGAGAGCTGCAGCTCATTAACAACTGAGGAACCTCCTCTGCTTCGGCCCTGCAAACACTTCAGTCAATTATATTTGTTTGTGGACTGCCTTTATCGTGAGCCAGTATGACACGCTGATTTTTACAACAGATTTATGCTAGAACTTTTAGTTGTCAGCCAAAAAAAAAGGAGGAGTCATCAAATTACTCATTAGAAAAACTCTCCCTCCCCTCTCTTTTCTCACCCCAGCCTGTCACTCAAAGCAGAATATCCACAGGAAAAGATGTTGGGATTTTTGTTTGGCTTTTTCCCCTTCATGCTGACACTAGAATTTCAGGTCCTAGGTTTTTTAAATTAAAATGGCTCAGAAAATCATGATCTTAGCAAACTGAATCTGAGAGCCAAACTGAGCTTCTGTTACTTAAAGGTTTAAAATTGGGCTTTAGGAGCACAGGGGTTCTGTGACAGTAGCACTGGGCATCGTACATACATATAATGGGACATTTTTCAATGGCTTTTATTAAAAATAAAGCACTTATACTGGATAATGGGCTCTGGCACAGGAATGTTTTCCTCAGAGACATCTTGTCACAGCTTCTCTAATGGTGAAGTTCTCCTGATCAGGTTGTCAGAGACATTTCTTAGTGCAAAGAGTGGACAGACATCACTCTCCCCAGAATCTACCATCACGAGGATTCATTCCTCTTGTGAATTCATCAAAACCCAAATCTTTGATCTCCAGAAAAGAGGAATGTTTTCTGCATCAGCAAAAAGGTGCTTTATCTACAAGGCTGCCTTCTCCAAAAAACCCCCAACCAACCCCACACTCAAACCCAGCAAACACCAAAGCAGAAACCCCCAAACCAACACCCCCAGCAGCCCCCAGCCCCTGGAGGGTTTCCCTCTGAGCTCTGACTGTCTTGTCTTGCAGGGCAGTTCCTCAGTGCATCTCCCTGTTCACCAAGACAAGGCCTCCTGAAGGCCTTTCATTGTCTCTCCTAAAGTGTGGGATGACACGAGCTGTCCATGGTGCTGCAGAACTGACTCTGCAGCCTCACAGACTCCTCTGAGTGTTTTGAAATGTGTTACAGACTCAAATGATTTGAACGATTTTAGCCAAACTGGTTAGGTTATTAAATGGAACAACTGTGCAGTAACTGCTAAATATTTTTAAATGCAATAATACTTTTCAGTTATTGAAAAATGTAACGCTAGCACTGTCTAAGATAACCAAATATGTGAGCATCAGAGGAGATCAGAAGTTGGCAATCAAGTCTTAATTTTAATTACATGTACTTCCTATTAAATCTTGCTGTAAGATAAAATGGTTTCAGAACATAACCCTAATTCATTTATATTCTACAACCCTTGTGAAAAAAGAGGCACAGTGAAATCAACTTCCTACACTATTTAATAAACAGCTTTGTAAATAAAGTGAAGGCCCAAGTTTGAAAGCAAGGTGCAAGCCATGACACTGCAATAATCTTTGCTTGCACATGCAGACAGGAGAACTACATGCTTAGCCATCTGTCTGCAGAAATAGCAGCTTTTATTCTTTGACTCAGAAAATACAGTTCTGAAATCGTACCCTGAAACTTCATAGACTACAATAAAAAGTAAGATTTGTTTTTATAGTCCTCCTACTATATAGTGGTAAACAATAACAACATTTCTTGGAAATATAAGGATGCAATGCTTCTAGCCTGCCCATTTGCTTTCCATCTTCCCATCTATTCAGATTGCATGGGGCGGGAGAAAGAATGTGTTTATTAAGAATTTGTATGAGAACAGATTGACCCAAATGTCTGTTACCAAAATAGATTATATTAGCTAGAATGGAGCGTGGTGCTTCCATGCAATCAGCAGCAGCCTTATGAAAATGTCAACTCTTATATATACATTCTGATGCAGGATAAGTCAAATTCTTTTTCAACTCTGTAGAATAAGTACATTAGAAATCCTGAGCTTTGTCCTAAGAGCACAGAATATCACTCTCCTAGAAATCCTGTCCTTGCAATCAGTTCCTTTCAATGCTGAGTCTTATTTATCACTCTTGTAGAGCACCAAAATAAACTGAGCTGTTTCAGACAGTCCTTTCCAGTCATGACTCACCCAGATTAGCAGACAGGCTCTGACAGACCAGCCCAGAGCTCCTCCTGTCTGCTCAGATCCCCCAGATGGGACAGTCCAGCAGCTCCTTCTGGAGCTTTAGGACAATGTACTGTTGCCCTGTAGATTGCAAAGGACAGGACAAGTCTTTGCCCTGCAAACCACTGCAGTGCTTCCATTGCATCTGCCAGGTCAGAAGGACACCCTGGGCACCAAAGGCCCCAGGACACTGCAGGCTGTGAGGGTGTTAAACCTGCAACGTGCTGCAATCTGCTCAAACCAGACGTGCAACTTGCTGGATTCCACCTGAATATTTTCCTTAACCATTTGCCATCTAGGTTTTTGTTTAAATGCATCCCTGTAAGGGCATGAGGGAGAGAGAAAGGCCTATTTTAGTCTCAATAAGTTACAGCTATTTCTCTTATCCAGAGTCTTCTAATAATTCACTAAACAAGAGCTGCAAGAGCTGCAAGGTCTGGATTAGCTAAAAAGTTACTGCAGAGTTGAGTGTCATCTTATTAATAATGATCTCCAGAATGTTTCACAGTGCCACAGAATCATTTGGTAAACCAGTAAATTGTCAATCAATTCATGTTAAAAAAAATATAGCAGCAGAAGAAACCAAACAAATAAGAAGAGAATCTCTCCACTCCTAGTTTGCAATTGGTAAACCATTTACAACTCTTTATTTATGTGCAAGTGATCAATGTATTATTATTTCTTCTAATAATGCATTTTGCAAGTCATGACTATAATCAGCTTCTGGTTTATATATTTGTATGCAGGAAAAATCCCTACTGGCTCACTTATGAACTAGTCAGTGCTGTTGCTTTATGTGTTCACCCTTTACACCTTTCAGTTAATTTAGCTACATCACTGAAGTTACTTGTTAGCACTTTCTTTTTCTGAAGAGATTATCCCAAAACCCACTGGGAAGAATCCAAGTATCTATTGGGTGTACTCACCTGCTTGCAAATTTATGTGCTGCCTTTTCATTAATAATCTTGCAAACAGGATTTCCTTGCTGAAATGCAAGTACCAACAAGCCATGGAGAATGATCTGTGTTTTATATGAAATTATATCTTAAACACCCTTAAAGATTAATAATAAAGAGACCTCTCTAGCTGAAACTCAATATTAAAGTGTTGACACTAAGGCTACGAGTTTGTTCTTTATAGGAATTGGTTCATTATAAGAAGAGGCACCTAAAAACTGAATCAGTAGCATTGGCCTGAGACCACACCAGCACTCTCACTGCCCTCATCCCCCATCCTGTGTCCCTTCCTCAGAGTGCAGGTGTGTATTTGGGATGGAGCCAGGCATACATTGCACACAGATTGAACACATTCCATGATGCATCTGGAACCCTGTTCCATGCATGCAGTGGAATAATATCAAACAAAACTAATGGTAAATCCACTGGGACTAGAAAGGAAAACCCCTGTCCACTGTCCTCAGTGTGCTGTTACCCATCAGGGGAACAGGCTGGACAGGAAGGGGTTTCCCATTGGGTTGGTTTTGTGAGTAATCTGTTAAATAAACCCACTCTATTCTTTGGATACTTGTTTTAGAGCAGAAACATTGCAGTGGGGGCTTTACTCCTCCCTAGTCCATACTGCTGTGGAAGCTCAAAAAAGTAGAAAAGCTTAATATACATATTATATAAAAACAAACAAACAAAAGAAACAAACAAACAAAAAGCACAAACAAAAAAGCACTAATTTATGTTTTCCACTCTGCAGGAGTTTGTTACTTAAAAAACACTGTTTCTTCAAGGAAACAGCTATACTTACTTTGATTTATGACTTTTTAATTTTACAAAATATTAGAATTGGTCTTCAGCCAGGAACGTTTAATAGTTTAATTTCTGACAGAGAGAAAAAGAAATGAGAAAAAGGAAAGCTGATGAAAGTACTACGGTTGTGGTTACATTCCTCACAAAATTAATTATGTTAGTGAAAAGTAATATGCACAGATGTTTCTAACAGGTCACACTAACTAAATGTCATAAACAATTTCAATATCCCCATTGAACAATAGTGTCCAAGGTTGAAATTCCTACTAATTTGAGGATTAGCCTTAAAAATTTGGCTCTCTTTCAGTAGCAGAAAACAGAAGTCTGCCTATAGCTTTAACAGGATTTTCAACTGCCTTTGGGCCAGATATTTAAAGTGCCTAAAGATGAAGAAGATACATATGGGATTTACAGAAGTGACTAAGTGAAATTCAGTGGGAAGTAGATACTGCTGCCTAAATTGCCTTTAAATAATTCTGTTAAACATCTGACTGCACCGTCAAAGCACCTAAATAGAGCCTTCTTTGGGAGCAGCTCTTGTCTCCAGCACTGCTGGACAACATGCCCAGTGGTTACTGATCTTTTTTTTGTTTGTAAATCACACCAACTCTGAGATGTTAAGAAGCAATGGGTTATTTGGAAATATTATTTGAAGTGACTAAAAAGTCTCGTGTCTTGCAACCCAGGAGCCATAATTCCATTGCAGCCTCTCGAAATCAAACCCAGAATGTTCTCAAATTTTACTATAGAGCCTTCACTGTACAAAATGAATTTTTCATTTAGCTTCACTACTTTTAAAATAAAATGCCTTTTGCAATGATTTGATTACAGTCATTTCATCATCACTTTCTTGTGATCATGTTATACCAAATGATGTCCCCGGGGGGAAAAACAGAAGAAAAAAGGAAGAGGTGACACTATCACAACACACATATCTGAGAGCAATTTACTTCTAGATTTCTTAATTCAGATTCAATTTAAAAACTAATAAGTTATTTTTAATGGAGGTCTTCTTTAAATAAAGAAATCTGAATTGTCAAGTCTCTTTCTGCCCCATTAATGCATTTTTAGAATTTAAAATCTTTAATTCCCTCGAGAATAAAATTTCAGTGCCTAGACTGTATTGTCTGACAAACCCGACAAATTTACCACTTGGAAGAGCTCAGAAGAGACCGTGAGCTCGAGGTCCTGAGGCTGAGAACAGTCGGTGTGTCCTGCTGGGGCAGCCCTGGGCACACTGTCCCTGCAGGGCAGTGCCACCTCCTTCCCCCCAGCAGATGGAGACAGGAAAACAAGGGAAAACAAGGCCAAGGGAGGCGGCACAACCCCTGCCCGGCTCCCAGCCCCGCGCTGTGTCCGGGGATCCGCATCTGTCACAGCCCGGCCACAGAGGGGCTGCGGTGCTGGGGGTTCTGAGAACCCTTCCTGTCCCTCCGAGCACATTCCATAGGGATGCTTTGGAACTGGGAGGGAGCACCGGGACCCAAACAGGGCTCGTTGCTCCTCTGTCATTGCTACAGCCCAGTGCTCTCCCATTCCTCTGCAATTCCAGTCTCGGCTCTGCTCTGGGACACTGTTATTGTTTCCCCTTGGTCAGAACCAGAGTCCAGCACTGACTGCAGGGATGTTCTTTGGGGCACTGCAGCCACCTCCTGCAGCCTGGCAGCACCCACATGTGCCAGGGACATCCCAGGGCTGGGGAGGAAGGTTGAGTTTCACACACAGTTTCACTGATGTCAGGATGAACTGTTGATGCAGTACTTGAAGACTAAACCCAAATCACACCTTTCCTCCCATTTCTACGTGGGTTTTTTTGTTACTCATTGTGAATATCTGGATTTCTTTCTTTACTCTCTGGTAAACAGTATTAATGCACTGCTTTAAACATGAAGAAAACAGGACAAATACAAAACTGCAAGAACAGAAATCTGAGCTAGATAAATAAAAATAAAACTTCACTGGAAGATTGGTCAAACATTGGAACAGACTATCCAAAAAGGCTGTAAAAGTCCATCCTTGGAAACACTCAAAACTGAGATAGATTTGAGCTTAGAGCAAATTGATTTGATGTTGAAGCTGAATCCAACCTTTGAGTAGGGGACTAAAACAAATTACCACCAGAGGTTCCTTCTAACTAGAATTATTTTATGATTCTATGAAAGCATGTCGCTTCTTTTCTCATCTCAGATATACCAAAAGACAAGGTAAAAATATGATATTAGCAAAAGGAATAAGTAAAGTAATTATGTATTTTTTGAAGTTTTTTAGGACATAATAGAAAATAATCAGAACAAAGAGGACCAAGGCCCAAAGATATTTTATTAGGGAAGAAATGTTAGTATTTTTGTCTGCTGATCAAAAGCTACTTGTCAGCCAGTGATAACTGGGATTATTTGATAGTCTTTGGCTGCTGGAAGTGACAGACATTCAACAATACTCCCACGGAAAGAATTTTTGACTAAAATTTAGCTGGTAAATCTGCCACTGATTTAAAAAATCCATCCTCAAGGAAGGCTGGCAATTCCTGAGGTATTTGATTAATAATTTTCCAAGCTTCATTAGATGAACGTTACCCTGCCAGTGAAGGCTGTCATGCAGCAGCACCACAAGAGCCACTTGTATTAGGCACTGCAGAAACTAAGATTATCAACAGACTTCTGCAAGCTAAATAACCTAAATCAGTAAGGCAAGGACATAAGAGAAAAGAAGGACAAGGAAGGCAGTATCATAATTGCCCCTGAAGCAAAGAAAAAAGTGTTTTTGCAATGGATTTTGATACCTGAGTTTCTGAGAGATGACAAAATCCAGAACCAGACATTCTCTGCAGCCTTCCAAGAGAGTTTTCCTGCTCTGTGGTGAATGGGAGCCCAGATAATAAGACATGGCAAGGGGCCACTCTGTTCAGAGCTGCTGTTGGAAGGACTGGAGCCTTAGATCAGGTTTAGATCCTGCCCCTCTCTTTAGGGGACAGGGTCCCTGCTGAGCACCTGGCTCAAAAAAGCTCCCAAAGCCTCCAGATGTTCCTCATGGGAAGAAGCCTGAAGGTCTCTGCAACTGAGACCAAACTTAAAAATTCTGTCAAAGTATGTATTTTAATAAAAAGATAGGATAAAGAAGGTTTTTTATAAGGAGAAATTTTCCACCTGGCTATTGCTGTAATTTGTCCTTCGTAACAAGTGTGGAGTTCTATAGAAAGTTGTACACAAACCCAAATTTTAGTAAGATCTGGGCCTTTAAGAGACTCCCATTTTTTGGTCAGCTGTCGTTTTCTCATGAAGAAAGATTCATATATGCTGGTTCTTTCTCATGAATCAGTATTTTCGCATTTATGTGAACTTAAACATATGTGTTTGTAGGTTCATATTTAATAATATTAAAATTAGAATAGTACAGGCACCCAAGGACACCACTGATAATTTCAGATTTTGGCATAGCTAAGCTAAACCAGAAGGCTTTCAAGATGTAAAAGATGAGTGTGCAGAGCAACACTACATTTCCTGGCATATAAAGGTGGATGGAACTCACTGGACACAATAAAAGGTGGCAAAAGTCAACAGCATCAGGTCATCTAAAATTACTGCTGCAGCATTTCTCAAACACTACTGTTAAAGCAAATGCCACCTGGGAACAAGTGTAGAGTTTGCTGACAGACAATTCTCTTCACATAAACTTTGGAGAAAAATTCCTCCAAAGATAAGCACAGTACTAATATCATGTCCAGGCAGGGGAATTGCAGTCTCTGATGAAACCTTCCTGAGCAGGAGCTGCTGTTTGTCAGCCCAGCTCCCACCCCTGGCCCAGAGCAAACTGTGGCACCCTCAGGTCAGAAATGATGCAGAGCAGATCCATCAGTGACCATCAGGGATCCCAAGGCAGCTCAAAGGGAACCAGGATCCTTCCCCAGGGGCTCAAGCACTGAATTTATGGGAGGGACTTAAGGCCACTGTGACCCAACACATGATTAAACTGGGAGGAACAGCATCTGTATCTTATTATCTACAACTGCAATGTTTGCATGTGTAAGATTCAATTAGAAATACCAGTACTGTCAGGAGGAAAGGGCTGACATGTATAAATGAAAATTATGTGCTTACAAAAGAATATAAGCATTAAGCATTTTCAAATGCTATGAATGCTTTTGTGAGAAATGGAGAAAAGGTAGCTATACAAATTGGAGGAAACACATTAAAAGGATACATTAGAGCAAAGGGAAAAAAACCTCCAGCATATTCACAGAAGCCTGCATGCAAAAAGGAGGACACTGATCTAGAAATAATTATACTGGGAAATAGGATAAAGAGGATAAAAATAGCTGCCATTAAACTGTTATTTTTCTTCCAGTTGTCCTATAACATAATGGTTTTTGTCCACTGCCTAAACTATTTTGTCTCTTATATTTAACATGTATTGGCATATATATGGAAAGATGGCACAGCTGATTAAAATTATGTTTATATGGATCCATATAAATATAATACCTACTACATACAAGAACTAATAAACATAAGAAATAGTGAAGGAAATAGAAGCTGTTTCAGTGAACCAATTATATACTTTCAGATGGATTTAATTTGATGGGGTATTTCACTGTTATCAAGTTTGAATGAGGCTATGGAAAGTAAAATTACCAGTGGTGAAGCAGGAGGAGATGAATGTGCTGGGAAGGGACAGGCACCATCCCATGAAACCACAGGTTTGATAGCAGGCATTCAGATAAAGCTGCTAAACTGTGGCTTTGCTTGATGGGAAAATGCACTCCCTGCTCCTGCTCTGTTTCTTTATTTGCAAGCTTTCAAACACATATGTCCATTTTTATGCCCGAGATGGCAAGCTCCTGTTTATAGCAAGGTGTTTAAGAACAGCCTTTACAAATGTAAAAACAGCAAAGTCACTGGAAGTTTTATGTTCTCTGAGAGGCTCAACAACTTTTGGTAGGAAAGAAATAAATGCAGCACCTTGGATGTAAATATATAGTGAATTATTTGCAACATAAGAAAGGGATTTTTTGCAGCAGGAGAAATTAATAATTTAGTCCATATATTTAATAGTCTGAAATATTTGCAAACAGGTAAGAAAAAATTTGAGTATAAAGTAACTCAGAAGGAGATTTACAAAGATAGGCTGCATTTTCCAAGATGTTTGGAAAGTTAATCTTTTATAGCACCGTGCCTTTGATGGTGTTCCAAGGGATGTAAAATAACAAGCATAGTTCAATATTATTATGACTAATATGCAGGTTAGGTGAATATGAAGGTTGAGAGAGATAAAAAGCTGCTAACTCCACAGGTAAAATCTGTGATAAATGTAATTTGTATTGCTTTCAGTATGTCAGAAAAGTTGAGAATAAAACATTTTTCTAAATCTTTTTACTAATACAGAGCACTAAAGGTGCATCTTGCTGGTTTCTGTAATGCAAACATCGAATCTTTCCTATTAACAGCAAGCCACTGTTGAGAATGAACCTCATTAAGGAACACTTAACTGGCTTATCTCAATCTAGGCAGAGGGAAAGATTCAGGTGTCAGAAGGGGTGTTTTATGCAAGTGTGCCAAATACTCTCCAACATGGGAGGTTAAAGAAATTTCAGTATCCTGAAATGAATTACCAAATAATCCACAAGTAATAGTTGGAGAAATCTTATTCATTTACCCCTTTTTTTTCCTCTGAGATGGCAAAGAAGCAGGGGAAACACTGATGGTTATAATCACATGAAAATTATTTGCCACAATGAAAGGGACAATCAAAACTTTTCATTTCAAATATTTATCTTAACAGATTTTGTATAAATGGTGCTGGACAGTGTGCAATATTTAAAAGATGGTTTAACTTGTGCCTGCCAAGCACTTCCACGAGGCCCCTGCTCACTGTTCAAGTACCAGCTTATAGCACATTCCTCAGTGTACCAAAATACAAGCACAACCTTGGAACTCCTGCACTTAAATTATGGATTTCTATTGCATAACCATTTCTGAGAGAATATATAAAACAGAGACAAATATAGATGAATTCATTTTGCTCAAGTGCTTAGGTGAGTATCTGCAGGGAAGTGACATAAATCCAACCTCTGATCACAGTCAAGGAGTGGGAGCTACAGGGGATAACAGTGGTTATCAATGTATTCCACAGTTACTGCAATATGTTTAGTAGAATAAATCATATATTTGAGGCATTCAGGACCTAACACGGATTAATGTTATTCGGAGCTACTGCAATAAATTAACACTTCTACATTAGTTTGTTTGGTAACGTACAACCCACAAACCAGTGAACCATAAGATTCCAAGAGAAAAATATGGATTCTCTGGTCACGTAAGAAATCATCCAGGTAATAAAGTGGTTTAAGTGACTCTGAGTAGGAGGCAAACAAGCTACTCCCACTTTTGTTGTATTTCAGCCTTGTGTAAAAGTACACAAACAAAACCCACTGAATATTAAATAAGTTCTTTTTTTTCACCTTCCCTCAGCTCTAAAATGAGTTGAAGGTTGTTAATCTTACTTTTGGAAGAAAAATCAAGTAGAGAAGTATCCATATGTCAGAAGTAAGTTTATAAGAAAATTACCTTTATTCCAAAATTATGTGAAAACAATTAAATTTAACCTTAAGTGTCTACAATAAAACAAACCTCATTAGTTAATATTTGGTAAAGTCTCATTAAACACACATCTGAAAGTGGGTTTGTTCCTTTAGGCTGATTTCTAAATGTGAACTCCTAAAGACATTTGCTCAAGGAAAGACTATTAACCAGCATATTACAATCTCTTAAATAATTTGTCTAGTTTATGTATCTTGTGCAGTCTTGCATATTTTTATCCAGGGAGCTTTATCTTTCTATCACAGACAGAGATACTGGATGTGTCTGTGCCCTGTCTGTACATCCTTGCTGCTCTCCCACCCACAGGACTGAACAGAAACCCCCTGAGCCACCCCCCAACCAACAGAGAGCCAGCAGGGTCTCCTGGGCTTTGGCACTGGGCACTTGGGCTCAGCATTCTCTCGAGGCAAGGTAGAAAAGGACTGACCTCCAAAACCCGCAGAACTCTTGAGACAAGGATCTGTGTTCACTGATTCTTCAAATTTGGAGAAGGATGCCAGGCTAGAAACCATCTCTCTCTCATCCAACAGTTCCTGGTCACTGAAAAGAAAGACTCACCCCCAATGTTGCAATTCTATAATCCCAGGCATTGTTATTGTTAGCATTAGTTAACAGCTGAATTCACTGAGCTCACCCCCGTTCAGGGGCAGTGAGGCTGCACTGCCAGGACCTCCCACCCCAGGTGCTGCTGCTGAAGAAGGGTTTCCTTCTCATTTGGAGCTTACACCTCACACCTGTGCTAGAAACACATCCCAACAGTGACAGAGCAGCGTGGCCTGGGCTGACAGTCACACATGGACAGCTTGCTGCTGCTGGGTTAGGACCTGGACACTTGCCAGTGCAGTCAAGAGAGCAAAGTTTATGTAAGATTCAGAAAAACAGAGAATATGCAGTAGAACCTGCTACTCCCCTACTATAACTGTCTGTCCTGAGATAAATATTATTCCTGATAAATTAACATCAAGCCTCGTTCTTTAGTTGTGAATGGCTCTGTAAAGATTACTTAAATTGAAATAATAATGGATGATTTACACCAAGTAGAGTTAACATAACCTAGTGAATTAGATTTTTGTTTTCTGTATCAACTCCTGAGATAAGAGAGAACATCCTCTTTTAGAACAGGTCTGTCTTTGAAACACATACTTCTGAAACATCCTAAGAAAACTGGGAACCTGACTACATAGGTGAGATCATCTGGAGAGCCAGCAAGGTTTCAGAAAGCAAAGCATTCCTTCTCTTATTCACTTACAGAATGACTTGCTGTTGGTGAGGGTGCTTATACAAAGGTGACTGAAACATGCAGAAGGACATGATGACACAGCCTGTTAAACAGCACTGCTGTCACTCCCTGATTCCTTCCCTCTGCAGTTCAGAAGAGGAAAACTGTTGCTTCCCTCAGTCAGTTACTATTGAAAGGTGGCTGGAATGGCAGGGGGCAAAAATGCCAGCAAAATAAAAGGTGTTTGCAGTGCTGGGGCAAGGGGGGGTTACACAGCTCACTCCTGGGTGGTTCCTACCAGCTTTGGTTGGTGCTGTTCCCCCCTGCACAGCCAGGAAGGAGCCTTTTGGCTTCAGTTTGGTTTAGATTATTTGTAGATGCCTCAACAAGCATCTAGAGAGAGCCCTCAGCTTTCACAGAATGATGCACAGATGATTTCCCAGAAAGCTTTAATCCTTATGACACACGTAGAAGGCACTGAGAAAAACAACAAACCACACAATACTTGTATTGATTGGTACACGTGAGCTCAGCCAGTTCCATCTGTACTTGGAAATGGTATTTATATGCCTGCAGGTAGGTAGGAACAAGTACTAACAACTGAACAGCAGTCTGTCCCATACCCTTCAAAAATGTTTAATATAGAATTTGTTTCATTTTCTGCCCAGTAGATCTGCCAAAATCAAGCTTCTTTCCATTACTGATGTGTTTATGCTAGACTGCACATTGAATAATGTCTAAGAATCAACCTGAGATTTGAAATGTTATGGTTTCTGTCTGCTTGGACCTTTGATTTTCTTGGACATAAAAGCAAACTCGGGCTCAATCTCAAATCTCCTGTGCATACAGGCTTAAATGTTAGGCCTTTCATATGAAAAATCAGAATGTTTGTACATGTGTTTGCAGGTGCATAACTCCAACGTGTACGGATCCATTAGAAAACACCCTTTCCCTGTGCCCAGCTCTGTTCAGAACGAGTGAGCAGGACCAAAGCATCTCTGCATGGTGTGTTCCCTCAGCCTGAGCTGCTCTGCCCTGTGCCAGCTGCCTGTGCTGCCAGGTACCACCAGGACAATCTGGGAGCAGATGACTCATCCCCACTTGGAATTCTCAGTGGCAGGGGGGGAGCAGCACAGGCAGCAATATGTGCACACATTCCCCCTGAAGATTTTGGAAGGCAGAGGAAATACACCGAGAGGGTAAACAGGGTAACCACTGTCCTTTGACAGAAAGAGGAGCATGAAGGAATAGCAAGCTGGCATGCATTTCTTTTAGACAGAACTGTACAATGATAAAACTATTTTACTTATATCTTTGCCATATATCACCTACAAAATGAATTAATTCATTGGGAAATAAAGCAATTTAAAATAAAAAGCAAACAAAACCTTGAAATCCAATTTTTTTCCCACAAATTAAAGGCAGCTTTAAAAGTAAGTTTCTTTATGATCCCTCAATTAATTTAGTAATCACATCCCCAATGTAAGAGCTTATTTCTTCTTTTCTAGTAGGTAGATGCTGAAGAAAAAGAGATGGGGGACACATTCTCTGTCAGGGGCTGAACAGATAGCAGGTATCAGATTAACTTCAAGTATTAGAGACTCAATTGCAGTCTTGTAGCCTTTGTACCAAATTTGTCATATTTCAACTGTAGCAAGTTGCCACAGAAACTTCAGACTATCTTAATTTCAAAATTCAAGAAGAAAACAAACACATTTTTCAAGATGTTTTCAGCAGTTGCAAAACATGTAATTTTCAGCAATGGTATTCCTAAGTGAACGAGAAATATCATCTTTCATTCCAGTGCTAATGACATCCTACAAGGTGATGACATTATCAGCTGGAAAGTGTAATCTTGCCACCACACTTCTCAATTTGCCATTCACTTATTTCAAGCCTGTTGTCCAGTTCATGCCACTTTCTCAGCAAATTTCCAAACTGTTTGTTTGCTTAAATGCCCAAAGCATATGTTGCTGACAAGCCTTTTAGAAGGTAAACATTTTCATTATTCTCATGGGAGCTTTGTCTCCCAGGAAACTTCTCTTCTTGTCTTCGTGATCACTATCCCTTTTTAAAGTTTGCTCAGATCACTTATAAAATTATGTTTTCCAGCTAATTTTCTCAGCTGTGTTTATTTTCAAACTGTCTTGGTAACCACAGACTCATTAGAATTTGATGGTTTGATCTTCTTGATAGAGAAATTTGTGTATTTGATAGTGTGAGCATTTCGCTTCATAAAAAGAGTACAGAACTCCTTGGTGCAAAGAATTTCAAAACTGCTGAGAAAGGGAGTATCTCTGTTTCACTCTTGAAAGTTTCAAATCCACAGAAAGAAAACATTTACTGAAATTTCAAGATAGATTTAACAATCAGCTCAGGAAACCATCCAGCTCTGTGACAGACAGTGAAGGCCCTTCTTTACCATGCAAAGGCTACTTTGAGCATTTTGGAAGGCAGGCTCCAATCATCTGAATGGCTTAGAGATTTTTTTTTTTACCTGTCTCTGACTCTTCCTGCAAATTCTTTAAAAAGAATTTGATCATGTCATTTTCCCACAGGGAAATCCCAGGCTGAAATCCTGGGACTTGTTCAAAGCCTGCAGTCCTGCCCAGGTTTCCTGCTCTGCCGTGCCAGGATTGCTGGGCTGGACTCAGAGGTGAGACAATAAGAGACAGCCAAGAGGGTGCAGAGATCACCCCAGAACAGCTGCTGCTGTTCATATCCAACAGGCTCCAAAAGCAAATGTATTCATCTCCCCCAATTTCCAAAGGAGAGAGGGAGGCAAATTCTATTTCTCTGCCTTGTCCCAGTCTCTCAGTTGAACAAGACAGATTGTCTTGTTCATCTTTTTACACAACAGGAGTCTAACTTGGAACAGGGTGCTGCTGTTGGACAAAAGGCAGTTGTCAATTATATGATCAACAACAGAAAATGTGACTTCTCTAATTCACAACAAAGAGAAGTGAAGTACAAGAAATGACTGGGTGGCCCCATGTAGCACTGGCCTTTTAATACTCAGGAGATGCTTACTAAAAGAAGCTGCTAAAATAAACCTTTTAAAAGAAGACAAATTGGATGTGTGCTGTTCAGCTGGGGGATGCTGATGGGACTCAGAATATGCTTAATTTTATAAACTTAGCTCCTCTTGCACATTTTGTGAAGGAAATTCAAATAGTCTTCCTAATATTTTGCCAAGACTTCTTTTCCCTTTCATTCAAAAAGGAAAAGGACATTATTCCAGGAGGGCATATAAAGTAAGACACAGAACACAGAACTCATAGAAATAATTAGTGATCCAGTGGGAAAAAAAACCCTAAACTTTGAAATGCATTTACATATTTAACAATAATGGGAGCATATTTACAAAAATGGGTCTTACCGGTGTTTACACAGTAAGTACAGTTTTAATATTCTGAGAAGAGTGATGCACACAAAAGACTCAAACATGTCAGTAAGATCAAACATATTTGAAAAATGGGGTAAACTGGTAGATTTTAATCAGTATCAGAGCAGGAACATAACCCTCAGAAGGTTCTGATTTGTTGAATTCCCTTTTCTTCTTTTCCCCATTCCACCTAGTAGTTCATACAAGCCTTTGATTTTTCACAGATGCAGTGCTATTGTCTGTGAATAAATGAATGCAGATAAATGGTTCTGAGTAGCAGCAAAAAGCCTGAGCTACACCAGCTCCTGACGGATTCACAGAGACCTGTGGTGCATTCACACAGCATTTCCAGGGGTTCCCAGGAATTCTAGTTCTCAGTGTCCAAAGGCAGAGCTGGAGCTCTGGCGTGTGCAGCCAGCCATAAGTGGATTATGTGACACCACTGCCCATGACAACAGGGAAAGGGACTCAATCACAGAGGGGATCTTGTACTTTTAATTACATTCTTGTATTCTCTTGCTTTTGTAGCATCACAGTCTCTCTTAAACACAAAACTTGAGCACCAAACCCCAGTGTTGCTCTTAATCTAGTCTTACTGCTGAATAAATACATGGTTCTCTTAGTTTCATGCAAATCCTTGCATTCCATTTCCTGAAAATTAAATATATTTGCTTAGAAGCTGCTAATGCAAATGTGGTTTATGCAACAAAATTTTATGAAAACAGTTTTTTCGGTGTGTTTATTTGTTCATCTGTATTACCATGAGGAAAGAAAACTGACCCAATTTGTTTACAGTGTATCTAGATGACTTAGGTGCTACCTCAGTCACTGGCTCTGTGAGAAGTAATAAGGCCCCAGAAAAAGCTGGAGCTGACTGAACTTTTTTCCTTTAGGGCTGACTATGTTAACACACTTACTGAAGGAGGGGACAGTAAT